ATTATTGATATTCTAAACAACGTTATTTTGTATATTTTTACTTATAACTGCTTGAGTATTCTCTAGGTTTCAGTAGCAGAAGTTGAATTAGTGGGTAAAAGAATAAGTATGCAGTTCATACATCCTGTATATATTATATATATACATATTTATATATATGTGGAAAGAGAGAGAAAAGAGACTCAGAAAGAACAAATTAATATTTTGAACCAAATAAACATACTTGATTCAACAGAGGATGAGTGTCAGTTCCCTCAAATCCTGCAAGACACCAGAATGTAGATGGAGCCTTACCAGGCAGGAATCAGCCCCTATCATCTATGCAAATTTGAGTAGCAGAGGAATGTTCACAGGTTTAGTCCTCAGACAGACGTGAAGTTAAATCCTAACTCCAATATTCACCAGTTTTGTAACATTGGGAAAGTCCTGTAATCTCTATAGACTCAGTTTACCTATATCTTCTTGGTGCCGCAACTGTAAGGATGGAAACAGATGACACATGCAAATACCTTCACTTTCATGGTGCCTGGCACACAGTAGGTGCTCAGTGAAATGTATGCGTCTGCTCCTCAATCTGTCTCCCAACCACACAAGCCCCATGTTCAGAACAGCTCCTGTATCTTTTAGTTTACATTGAGTATTAAGACCCAGCCCATGGCCGGGCACAGTGGCTGACTCCTGTAATCCTAGCACTCTGGGAAGCCAAGGTGGAAAGATTGCTTGATCTTTAGACCAGCCTGAGCAAGAGCAAGACCATGTCTCTACTAAAAATTAAAAAAATTAGCCAGGTGTCGTGACACGTGCCTGTAGTCCCAGCTACTCAGGAAGCTGAGGCAAGAGGATCACTTGAGCCCAGGAGTTTGAGGTGGCAGTGAGCTACAATGACGTCACTGTTCTCTACCTAGAGTAATAGAGCAAGTCTTAAAAAAAAAAAAAGAGGAAGAAGAAGAAGACCAGCCCACAGGGGTCCTGGGCTGTGGGTCAGGAAACTTCCCTGCTTATCCAAGTGAATCCACAAACTCTGTGTAAATTAGCAGCCGAGTTGGGAGTAGAAATCAGAACTCAAAACAGCCAGTCCAAACACTGGCTGTAACCAGTTCTACTCTCCCAAAGGACAGAAAACGTTGTTTTGGTTTTATAGGTTGAGGAGATGAGTTCTGAGTCTGGCACCTTTTATAAGGTTGAGAGTCAACTACTCTAACTCCTCCTTCAGTTGAGATTATTTCTTCTCGTCAACAGGCTCTACGACCTACTCACTGTGACCCTTCCTTTCTCTTCTGCCTCCTCTTCTCTTCATTCTCCATCTCAGTGATTTCCTAAGATCTCCACGTGCTGTGTTCTATTCCAACATGGACAATTTTACCCAAAGACATAGGATCCTCACTATATAAAAGAGTTGACTATACAGGCTCCCTATCCGAATAGTGATTCCTAAATCACTAAATCACTAAATTCCTAAATCACGAGGTGATTTCTAAATTTCCATCATTATTCATTCTTCCTTTGGAGAATAAACCCATTTTTTTCTTTTTTATTTCAGAATATTACAGGGGTACAAATGTTTTGGTTACATGGATTGCTTTTGTACTGCTTGAGTCAAAGTTATAAGTGTGCCCATCACCCAGATAGTGTACGTTGTGCTGGTTAGGTATGAATTCACCCATCCCCTCCTTCCCCCTCCCACCTGCATGATTTCCCTTGAGTTTTCCTTCCATCTGTGTACATGAGTGCTGATCGGTTAGTTCCAATTTAATAGTCAGTATCGCTCTTGCGATACTTCACTTAAGAGAATGGTCTCCAGCTCCATCCAGATTGTTGCAAAAGGTATTAATTCATTTGTTATGGCTGAGTATCACTCCCTGGTACACATATACCACATTTTATTAATCCATTCATGAATCGATAGGCATTTGGATTGATTCCACATCTTTGCAATTGTGAATTGTGCTGCAGTAAACATTCTAGTGCAGGTGTCTTTTTGATAAAATGACTTCTTTCCGTTTGGGTAAATACCCAGCAATGGGATTGCTGGATCAAATGGTAAATCTACTTTTAGTTCTTTGAGGACTCTCCAGACTATTTCCATGGAGGTTGTACTGGTTTGCAGTCCCAATAAACTCATGTTTAAATGCAAATAGCTGTGGAGTAAGCAGTCACTAGGACTCATGGAGACCTCAGGAATGGAGACAATGAACACAGACATCAACAACACAAACTTACAGCCTTAGAAGAAAAATCATGGCTTCTTCCTGGAATTTTTAAAATGTAAGATGATAGATATAAAATGTATATACTAGATATAATGTATATACTAGGGAAGGGCATCGGAATAAGGGCCTAATTGGGGCACATAGTCAATGTCGTGGAGCTCAGATAAGGGGAGGGAACAATCAGCCAAGGGCTCAGGGCAGAAGTAGACCTTGAACATTATGGAGGAAGTGGACACTCGGAAGTGAAGATGTTTTTCTTCCCTAACAGGAGAAAGAGGGGAAACCAAGGGTTCTGGACTCTCAACAGGCAAAGAAGCTGGGAAGACGACGGTGGTAAAGACTTGAACCCCATCTGCTATCTAATAGAGTCTCCTTCAATATTCAGGTATCATTTATGTTCAAAATCTCTGATACCCATACCTGTAGTTTGTAGAGTGCTTTTTTACCTTTCCCAAATGTTCTCTCTTTCACAGTCTTTCCTTTTGGTCACTCATAAAAGATAACAGTATGGAGAGTGGACACTGTCATACCAACCCTATCAAAGAAGGGCTGTAGCTGGGAAACAGAAGCTCAAATAGAAGCTTCATTTTCCCATCCACTCCCCCTAAAGCTAGTGTGGCAATGTAAATATTTTGGCCAACAGACCGAAGGCAAAAGTTATTTGTCACTTCTGGGTCAAGGCCTTAAGGAGAGTGTAGTCAAGATCTACTTCACACTCTCTTTCCTCTCCACCAGCTCAGTCTTGATGACCACAAGGCTCTAGGGCATGGTGACACCAAAAGATGGGAGGAGCCTGGGTCCTTGACTCATCACATGGAAGAAGAGTCATCCATTGTTGTAGGTTACCCATCCTGAATTATTATGTGAACAAGAAATAAAAAGTCTATCATATTTTAGTCATTATGTGATGGAGGCTTTCTGTTAAAGCAGTTTAATCTATCCTAATTAATAACATACATTTTAGGCAGAAACAAACTTTTTCTCACTTGCAACACCCCTGTTTTGAATTCACTGTTCCATGGCACTGAAGATCCAGTTCAAGGGAAGCTCCTGTTCCTTGTCTAGCCATTATCACTTGCCCCGGAGTCTGAATTTATGGGACCTTTACTGATGCAGAAGTAAGAACACTAGATTGCCGATTCGCCTCTCTAATGAACTTCTTCTGTGGCCTTGGGCATGTCCTGTTTCTGCATGATTCATAAGAGTAATGAAAGGCTTGAATGAGAGCATTCATTGAATCATTGCATTTTGAATTCCTATGTGCAGGACAGCACACTCACTGCTAGGTACTGTAGCATAAGTCAGACATTGTTCCTGCTTCTACAGGATTCAGAATCTGGCAGAAAACGGGTGTGGTGGCTCACGCCTGTAATCCTAGCACTCTGGGAGGCCGAGGCGGGTGGATCGTTTGAGCTCAGGAGTTCGAGACCAGCCTGAGCAAGAGCGAGACCCCGTCTCTACTAAAAATAGAAAGAAATTAGCCAGACAACTAAAAATATATAGAAAAAATTAGCCGGGCATGGTGGCGCATGCCTGTAGTCCCAGCTACTCGGGAGGCTGAGGCAGTAGGATCTCTTGAGCCCAGGAATTTGAAGTTGCTGTGAGCTAGGCTGACGCCACAGCACTCTAGCCCAGGCAACAGAGAGAGACTCTGTCTCAAAAAAAAGTAAAGAAATAAAATAAAGGATAAAAATAATGTTATCACCTCAACATACATAGAAAAAAGCAATAGATAAAATCTGACATAAATTAATGAAAACTCTTTTTTTATATTAGGAATGAAAGAGAACTTTCTAAACCTGATAAAGGCTGCTTAGGAGAAACCTAAAAGAGAGACTATCCTAAAAGGAGAAATTCAAGAAGCTTTCATTTTAAATCAGGTACCAGACAAGGACACACACTATCCTCACTTCTATGCAATGTGCTCGAGGGACTGGCCAGCACAATGAGGCATGAACAATGGCATAAAGTTTGAAGAGGAAAAGTTACTATTTGCGGATGATAAATACTGAAAGAATATACCAAGAAATCATGAGAAACAATGGGAGAACTGAACAAGCTAACTAGTTACAGATCAATATGCAAAAGCCATTTCTCTACATTAGCACAAAGAAAA